GTAGTAGTAGTAGTGGTAGTAGTGGTAGTAGTGGTAGTAGTGGTAGTAGTGGTAGTAGTGGTAGTAGTAGTAGTAGTAGTAGTAGTAGTAGTAGTAGTAGTAGTAGTAGTAGAAGAAGAAGAATAATAAGTAGGTCGTAATCGAAGTTGGTTGTTTTTGACATGCTTTTTGTTTGTTTGCTTGTTTGTTTGTTCAATTTCGCTTCTGTCTGCATTGGCTTCCGCCCCCCACTCCAGGTCTCACCTGGGCTCCCCCGCCGCTGACACAGTCAAACATTCGCCACAGCCTCAGGTAAAGACCAAAGCCCCCCCACCAACAACTATCTACATCCACCTGAGACGGGTAATTAGTAGTAGTAGTCGACGTCAGTGTGTAGTAGTAGTCTTAGGCAGTAGTAGTAGTCCGTCGTCTTATGGTCGTATATCGGTAGTGGTAGTAGTGGTAGTAGTGGTAGTAGTGGTAGTAGTGGTAGTAGTAGTAGTAGTAGTAGTAGTAGTAGTAGTAGAAGAAGAAGAAGTAGGTCATAATCGAAGTTTGTTGTTTTTGACATGCTTTTTGTTTGTTTGCTTGTTTGTTTGTTCAATTTCGCTTCTGTCTGCATTGGCTTCCGCCCCCCACTCCAGGTCTCACCTGGGCTCCCCCGCCGCTGACACAGTCAAACATTCGCCACAGCCTCAGGTAAAGACCAAAGCCCCCCCCGTGCCTCACCTGAGACCGGGCATGGGATCAGCGCCAGAGGCATACCCGCAGAAAGGCCTACTCTGGACATGGGTCATTGATCAAAGGGGGGGATGAGTGTGTAACCTTCCGACGGAGCTTGCCCAATCCACCCCCCTCCATCCTCCTCCCTCTCCTCATCCTTCTCCTCCTCCTCCACCCCCCCTCAACCCGCTCCGGCAGCACGTGTCTAACCCCTCAGCAGATCCAAGGGGAGGCGATTATCCCAGACCCCCGACGTCGAGATTTTTTTCACAACGTCGACCCCCAAAGGTCTGGACCCCTTCCCTGGGGCTGGGTTTTCGTCCTGAGGCGTTTTTGGACGGTCCGGAGGCCCGGTAAGGGCCCTCGGAGGCCGAAAATAGCGAAAATCCATCCTTCTTGACTTTTTCACGCCGCGAGGGGGTCTGCGATTGTCTCATCCAGAGTAGGGAGTATCGAGCGCCCTTCGAAATCAAAGCGGGCGTCATTGAAGGGGAACTGGGACACACAAATAAATACACACAAATAACAATACCCCCCACATTTTCCCATATTTTCTGGGTTTCTGTCTTCCCCCCCACTTCCCACATTTTCCGATATTTTCTGGGAATCGCCGATGAATTTGTGTCTGTGTGTTTTTTCCCCTCCTGAGTCATCCCAGAGGCTCGACTGTGCGCCGAGATCCGACCCTTGCCAGGCTGGCGCCCGGCCGAGGGGGCCTTCTCCAGGAACTCGATCCGCTCCCCGAAGGAGGCGTGGTGCTCCAGGCCCTGGCGGCGCCGGCTGGGCCCAGGCGGCTGGTTGACGAGGGCCTCGATCCTCGAGCCTCGAGCTTCGATCCTCCATCCTCGAGCCTCGAGCCTCGCGCCTCGAGCCTCGAGCCTCGATCCTCCGTCCTCGAGCCTCGAGCCTCGATCCTCGACTCTCGAGGCTCGAGCCTCGATCTTCGATCCTCCAGCCAGGCCCCGCGGCGCAGCCTGGCCCTCCGGATCCTGGATCCTCCGCCCCCTCGGGCCAGGCCCCGCGCGCCGCCGCCCGGGGCAGGGGCGCCCGTCGCCGAGGGGCCCCTCGGTGCCCGTGCTCGGGCAGGGGCCGGCGGGCGCGCGAGGGGCTGCCCAGCGCTCCGCGGGCGGAGCCTGCTGCGAGGCCCCGCGCTCCCTGCAGAACGGCGAGCCGGGCCGTGGGGGAGCTGGTGGAGCCGTGGGCGACGATCCGGTGGAGAGGAAAAACATGTTGCCAAGGAATTCCCAGACGTCCAAAGCATGCCTGCAGCAGGTCTTGAGCATGCCAAGCGTCCCAAACGTGGTGGAGCTGTGGGCGACGATCGGTGGAGAGGAAAAACATGTTGCCACATAGTTCCCAGACGTCCAAAACAGGCTTGAAGCATGTCTTGAGCATGCCAGCGCAAGCACCAGCATGTTTTGACTGCTTGTGGAGCATGCTCCCGACAGTTTAAGCCCATGCTTAATTCAATGAGCAGATTGTTGGGGTGTCCACTGTCATGGCATCCGCAATCATAGAGGCCTCCCAGATGGGGTCGGAGGATCGCGCCGCATCGCATCGAGCCGCATCGCCGACGCATCGGCGATGCGGCGCGATCCTCCGAACCCACCTGCTCCGACCCCATCTGGGAGGTCTGGAGCGGTATTCGGGGCACAACTCGGGCCTCAGGCGGCCGACCCGGGGCGGTTCTGCCACCACCAGGATGCTCCCGACGAGGCGCAGCTGCAGGAGAGCACTCCGAGGCTGGAAGACCTGCAGGCACGACCGAAAACTCAACAAAGGGCTCCCAATTTCGCGCTTCGCGCTGCGCGAAGCGCGAGAGTGCGAATGACTTCGCGCTCTCGCGCCGCCTCCCAGGGGAGACAGACTGTGTTTCGAGCACCCAGGCAAAGATCGAAACATTGTCCGCCCCACGCGCTAGCGAAGTGTCGAACGAACATAGCCTCCCAGGGCCGGACCACGTGAAAACCCTCCAGACTCGGTACAATCTTGGCGCTCGACATTCGTTGTGGTGATCAAGGCTAAAACAGCTAGCGGGCGAAGGACGGTATACAACAGACTTTTCCGTCACCGGGGGCGCTGCCCCAGGGCGGCTGGAAAGTTCATACCATGACGTGCCACCGTAAGGTATAAACTTTCGAGCCTCCCTGGGGCAAGCGCCCCCGACAGCGAACACACATACACACATATATATATATATAGATATGTTTATATATATATATATATATATTACTGTTCCTCGCCCGTTCAAGCAGGTCGGAGCATCATAATCCCAAGCTGGACAACCTCTGGCCACCATCGAAGGCTCCGCGGGGCACCTCCAGGAGCCGCTCAGAAGCCGGCCCCTGCAACACGGCCACGGCCAGGGGCGGCCCTCGGGGACCCCGCGCTCCGCGCGGAACGCGCGGGCCTGGCCGCCGGGGAGCGCCCTGAGATCCGACGCGGCGGAAGAAATGGCAGCATCGTGCAATTTCGGCAAAGGTCTTGCACACTGCATCTCCCTGGTGCGAAGTCGTGTGAGAGCGCGGTGAAACAGCATTCGTCGAGTGCTGCGTTCACGCGCCGGGAGCGCCCCCTCCTCCTCCTCCTCCTCCTCCTCCTCCTCCTCCTCCTCCTCCTCCTCCTCCTCCTCTCTCCTCTCTCCTCTCTCCTTTCTCCTCCTCCTCCTCCTCCTCCTCCTCCTCCTCCTCCTCCTCCTCCTCCTCCTCCTCCTCCTCCTCCTCCTCTCTCCTCCTCCCCCTCTCGGAGGCACAACGTGCGCTTTCCCATGCGCACGTGCACGTTTAGCCCCGTGCGCTGTAGCCTCGCCTGTTCCTGGGCCAACTCATCGTGGTTTGACCTGGCCCCTCTGTCTGTCGGAAGATCGGCGGCGAGCGAGGGGGGGAAGCGAGAAGGACTCTGACCCCGACGTCGTGATTCTTTCGCAGCGTCGACCCCCAGAGGTTTAGACCTCTTCCCGAGGACCGGCTTCTCGTCCTGGTTAGAATTTTGACGGTCCTGGGGCCTGTCGATGGCCCCTAGAGGCAGAAGGTAACGAAAAACCTCCCGTCGTGTTTTTTTCACAACGTGAGGGGGTCTGGGGAGAAGGCCCTCTCAGAAGGCGGCGGGGCTTCTTAGAAGGCCTCTTGCTTTCTGAGATGCTTTCTGCGTCTTCGGGGGAGGCTCCGAAAACTCCTTGGAGGGCCGGGAGACTTCCGAGCCTTCTGCGAAGGCCTCCTCCTTCTCACTCTCCACCCCTGGGCTCGCCGCCGAGAAAGCTCACGACCAGAGTCCCGGAGCCCAGTTGTCAGCGCCCCTTTTCTCCGAGCCGCGGCGATCTGAGTGGGGGCCCTGGGGGCCCGACTCCGGGCCGAGCAACCGAGGCACCAGGCTCTCAGGGTTCGCCCCGTGCACGGCCCGGAGACGGCTCGAGGCTCAGGCCGGGCATGTCCCCCTACAGGCGGATTCTGGGCGAAAAATGAAAGATAGCCCAAAACAAGTCTTCTAAAGTGGTCAAGAAAAATATAATAATCGTCCCCAGACTGTTTTTTTGATTGTTTTGAGTTTTCCTCCTGTAGAGGGACAGGCCCGACTTGACTCGAGGTCCCGCGCTCCGCGTGGGAAGCGCGGGGTCCCAGCTGGCGGGTGGGGCTCGGCGCCTGCGCGGCCCGCGAGAGAGAACGGGGCCCGGAGGGAGGGGGCACACCGGGCGAGGGAGCCGGTCTCTCTCGCTGCTTCGGGGGCTCCGGCGCCCGGAAGGCGCCCCCCTTGCCGCCATCGCTCGGACGTCCATGCCACGTGCCTTTCATCGATTCCGTGCGCTTGTTTGTCGTCAGGTGATCCCAGATGCTCATCGGTGGCCCCCACCGAAAATTATCCCGGCAAAGCAACCTAACAGCGATGTGTAGAAGCATATCTGAAAGCATTCCCCTTAAGATTCAGATGAAAATCCAGTTGTCGAATTCTGCTGTTCTCGCAGTCGTAGTCGCATTCGCGATGACAGTCGCAGCGGCAGGAGTCCGCAGTCGCAGTCACCTGCCTCAGCCTCTCAGCCTCAGCCTGCCTCAGCCTCAGCCTCAGCCTGCCTCAGCCTCAGCCTCAGCCTGCTTCAGCCTCAGCCTCAGTCTGCCTTCAGCCTCGGCCTCAGCCTCAGCCTGCAGCCTCAGCCTGATCAGCCTCAGCCTCAGCCTCAGCCTGCCTCAGCATCAGCCTGCTTCAGCCTCAGCCTCAGCCTGCCTCAGCCTCAGTCCTCAGTCTGCTTCAGCCTCAGCCTCAGTCTGCCTTCAGCCTCGGCCTCAGCCTCAGCCTGCCTCAGCCTCAGCCTGCCTCGGCCGCAGCATCAGCCTGCCTCAGCATTCAAAATGTGGCCCGGGAATGGAGTTCTGGGAACTCGAAGAGCACGAAGTGGCCTACAGTTGGCTCCGGGCATTCAAAATGTGGCCCGGAATGGAGTTCTGGGAACTCGAAGAGCACGAAGTGGCCTACAGTTGGCTCCGGGCATCCAAAATGTGGCCCGGGAATGGAGTTCTGGGAAATCGAAGAGCACGAAGTGGCCTACAGTTGGCTCCGGGCATCCAAAATGTGGCCCGGGAATGGAGTTCTGGGAGCACCAAGAGCAATTTTGCGAGGATGTCCCAAGTGATTTCGGCTTCGGCGGCAGCCTCCCGGCAGCCTCCCCGGGTCCCGCCCAGACCCCCCTGAGGAGTCATGATGCTCTCTTTTGAAACCACTAGAAGCCTATCAGCAAGAGCTGTTAGGTAAAAAAAGAGAGCACACACGTCCGAGCGATGTCGAGCCCCAGCAGCCCCCGTTGGGTCGGTCCCCAGTGGCGGACAAGGGAAACCTCTACCCCCATGCGTCGTGAGAAGTTCAACATCAGTTCGTGTTTTAAATCTTTGCTGCCTCTGGGGGCGCTTCCCTTGTCACGGCGCTCTTGCAAGCGCCAGAGCTTGTGAAGTCACGCTCTCGAGGTGCCTTGCGCATCGGCCTGTGTGGGTGCTGTCCTGCGACCAATTGCGTTCATTGAAAATGCCCTGCGTGTGTGGGTGCTGTCCCGCGACCAGGCCATCATGAAAATGACGAGACCCAACTTGAAATTTGACGCGACCTCCCGCTGCAAACATCCCACCAACACTGGACCGTCAAGATCCAACACGTGCCCGTCAAAAAGCGTCGGCAAACCCGGGTTCCGGCGTACTCGAGCCGAACGCTTCCCCGACCCATGCGGCTGTACAGGCTGTTCAGCGTGCCCGCGGCTGCTGACATGACGCTTGCCCTCCCCGCCCGTGTCGCTTGCAGGCAGGGCGGCGCAAAACATGGTCGTACGGCACACCTCGCTGGCCACTGGTGACCTGCCTCGTGGCCTGCTCTGTGTTCTCTTGGCTCTAGGACGGATGCCAGCGTGTGCCCCAAACGGTGGGCTCCTGTATTTTGGATGCGTCGTAGGTGGGGCGCAATCTGTTTGGTACACCAGAGGGAATGCAGTCGATGTGGTGCACAATCCTACGACGCAGCACAATGTGTCGACGTAGTACAATGTGCCGACGTAGTGCCTCGGAGGGTGCCAGGAACCCGTGGACCTCCTGGGGGTCAGGCTAAACCGCCGGGCCTACAAGTCCCGCCGCGGGGGGAGTCGTTCCTCTCCTCTCCCCGCTCGCTCCCTGCCGCCCTCCGACGCCGCCCGCCGCCGCCGCCGCCTCCGCGGCTGTGGCCGGCGCCGTGCAGGCTGTGCCGTGCAGCGCGTGGGTTGTGCGCGCCCTGTGGGCGCCTTGTGGGCGCCCTGTGGGCGCCTTGTGGGCGCCCTGTGGGCGCCTTGTGGGCGCCTTGTGGGCGCCTTGTGGGCGCCTCGTGGGCGCCTTGCGGGCGTGCGGTGCAGGCGCCAGCCAGCGCACGCGGCGCCCACGAGGCGCCCGCGGCCGGGCAGGCTCCGCACCAGGCTCACGAGGGCCCGCCGGCGCCAGGAGCCGCCCGCGGGGCGCCCGCAGGCGGGCGCGGGCGGCCACCCGAGAAGTGCCCAGGCAGCGCCAGAGCCGCCCGCGAGGCGCGCGCGGGGTAAGCACGCCGCCGAGCACCCGCAAGCGCAGGCCAGTGGCCCAAAAGCCACGCAGTACAGTCGGGGCGTTGACCTAAGGAACGATAAATGAGGAACGAAGCCCCTTTTTATCCCAAGGAATAACGCATAAGGAACGAGAAGTAACTAATAGCGCATAAGGAACTGTAAATAATGCATGCAAACCTAAGGAACGACCGAGCCCCTTTTGAAAAGTAAGTGTTCCTTACTCAAGCCGCTCACTGTACACGTGCAGACCATTTTAGGAGTGGTGGGGCGCAGCGTGCGGATTGTCGAGCAGGCCCTCGTTTGAAAGGCATGCGTAGGAGCGCCACATGTTGGCAACCTGAGTGCGGGGAGGGAAGACCACGATGAGGAGCAGGAGCAGGAGGAGGAGGAGGAGGAGGAGGAGAAGGAGGAGGAGGAGGAGGAGGAGGAGGAGGGGGACCCGTCTCCAAAGGGCGCTGCATCCGCGCTGCCAGCTCCGACTCGCGTGCCGACTCTCACGCGCGCCGGACTCCCGGCTCCCAGGAGCGAGCTGCCAGCTCCGACTTGAAGCTCGAGGTGGGCGACGCCTCTCCCCCGTCCTGAAAGCTTCCCACGGGCGCAGATTATCGCCCGCCCGCCATCTGTGCAGCAAGCGGCTGTTCAGCGCACGGCCCCGTGGCAACTGCCGACCGTGCGGGCCGAACGCCTCTCCCGCCACTTCCTCTTGAGGCCCAGAAGCTCTGGAAACTTTGGATGCGCATGCGCGTGTGTTTGGTCGCAGACTGGGCCTCAACCGATCAGCCTGATAACTGCCGGCACCGTCCTTGCGTCTACGGACATGGTGGAAAAGGGCGCAATGCGTGAGGAGGGGGTGCGTGCGGCATGGACGAACAAAGGCAAAGCACAAGAAGAGCCCATGTGGGGGGGAGCGACCGCAGCGTATGTGAGCACGAGGTGTGATTATCGTGGCCGCTCAGGAGGGGAGACCTTGGTAAGGCCCCTCCTCAAGTAATACATTGCTCCTGCTCCTTCTCCTCATTCCTTTCCTCGTCCTCGTCCTCGTCGTCCTCGTCCTCGTCCTCGTCGTCGTCGTTCTCCTCCTCCTCCTCCTCCTCCTCCTCCTCCTCATCCTCCTCCTCCCCCCTCTTTCTCCACCTCCTCCTCTGCCTCTCCCTTTCCCTCCCCCTCCCCCTTTCCCTCCCCCTCCCCCTTTCCCTCCTCGTCCTCCTCCTCTTCCTCTTCCACCTCTATTCCTTCCTCCTGCACGTCCTCGCCCCCCCCACCCCCCCCCGCGCGTACGGTGAAACGGGTGGGTGGGGGCGGGCGAGGGAAGGGAGAGGGAACGATGAGGAGGAGGAGGATGAGGAGCAGGAGGGAGGCAGGAGGAGGACAGACGACGATGAAGAGAAGGGCGATCAATGAGGAGGAAGAGGAGGGGGAGGAGGATGAGGAGCAGGAGGAGGAGGGTGAGGAGGAGGAAGAGGAGGAGGAGGATAACTTATGAGGAGGATAAGCGCCGCCGTCGACGACGGCGACCCAAGGGCTCCTTGAGCTGCTTGTCTGTTGACCTCTTCAGCTCCTCGACTGCCCTCCGGTGCTGGTCCGCCGAATCGCCGATATCCTTCGGGGTGCGCCGCGACCAGGGATGGACGGCTGAGAATGAGGGGCGCAAGGAGCAGGGGAGGAGGAGCATGAGAAGGGGCTAAGAAGAGCGGGTCGATGAAGGGAACCTAGAATAGTAATGTGGATGGCGATGTTGATGACGGTGATGACGGTGATGACGATGACGATGCTGCTGATGATGACGACGATGATGATGATGCTGATGATGCTGATGATGATAACGATGCTGCTGCTGATGATGATGCAGGCGAAACTGATTCATTTGAGGAACGAGGAAGAGGAGCAGGAGGATGAGGACCAGTATAAACCTAGAACGCATCAGCGATGTTGCAGTCAACCTCCATCCAAACTGTTTTTAGCGGACTAACGTGACTGATGCGTCCTGACAATCCAAAGTCGTGCCAGAAGACTGCTCTTGGGACTTCAATCATACGAATCCTGGAAGCGGTTGCAAGCTTTCAAAATGATTGTGCACGGCACTAAAATGATAACCACATTTTGAAGAAGAACCGCCCTACATCCTTGAAGCTGTTGCAAACACCTAAACGAATGTGCCCGGCACTACGGCGAGAACCACATGTTGAAAACGAGCCCTCCATCCGTGAACCTGTTGTAAACTGTAAATGACGAGTGTTCGCGGCTTTAAGGCAAGCACAACATCACGAAAACAACCCGCCCTCCATCAGCGAACCTGTTGTAAAGTTCAATCTTGAAGATCACAGATGGTGAGGACGTTTCAGACGAAACGCTCGGCCCGCCCTACCGACACGTCTAGGGGTGCGACAGGAAAGTATTATGAATAAGGGAAAGGGACGGAAGAGGGCGCGGAGAGAGGAGGCGGAGAGAGTAGGAGGCAGAGGCGGAGGAGGAGGAGGCGGACGAGGAGGAGGAGGAGGAGTATGAAGAGGAGGAGGAGGATGTGCAGGAGGAGGAGGATGAGGAGGAAGGACGAGGGCTGAGGAGAAAAGCAACAACGAACAAAACGAACATATACTTGATACCTCTCTCCCTCCCCGGAATCCTTGGCAACCAACCGTGAGCCCCCGCACACCTTCGGAAGCCCTGCAAATCCTCAAAACAACATGTAGAACACCTTCGACGACCCTCCTTTCCCTCCTCCTCCTCCTCATCTTCCTCCTCTTGTTACTCCCCCTCTTCCTCATCTTCCTCTTCCTCTTCCTTTCTTCCTCTTGGTTCCTCCCTCCGTCCCTCCCTTGTGTGGCGGGTCCTTCTCCAGATAGGCGACCCGCTCCTCCAACGACGCGTGTCTTTCGTGCACGGTCTTAACGCTCTCCAGCTCCCTGGCATGCCTGCCGCGAGGCCAGGGCAGGTGAGGACAGCCGCCGCCACTGGAGGTTCCCCTCGTCCTCCTCTCCTTTCCCTTCCTCCCTCCCCCTCCACCGCTCCTCTTCCCCTCCTCCGTTTGTTCCCCCTCCTCCCCCTCCTACTCCCTCCTCTTTTTCCTTCTCTCCCCCTCCTCCTCCCGCCTCCTCTCCCCTCCCTCCTGACCCGTCTCCTCTTCCTCCTATGAGGAACTCCTCCTCGTCGCAACACCAGATGTGCCCGTACCATCGCTTAGCCGCCACTGTGCCTCGAGGCACGAATCAGAATGTCCTCAGGTCCCTTTGTAGGGCGCCCATGCAAAACGTTCGCGCCAAATCACGCACACGAACACGGCCCTCCAATCCGCGAGACCCCCCTCGTGATACGAACGCTCGCGCAATGTATGCTCTCGATTCTAACGTGTATTCGTGTCTGCTTGCATCTCTCTTTCGCTCTCGACTTAGCGTTAGGTCGGGCATGTCCACCTACAAACGGATTTTGGACAGAAAATAAAAATAGTCAAACCGTGCATCATGATAGCCAAACATAATTCAAAAATCGTCCCCATACTATTTCCCAACCATCCTGTGGTGTTGGGTCCTCGTTTCGAAGTGACAGCGCCCCACGTTCACTCCTTCCGCTGCCCCCTCCTTCCTCCTCTCATCATCATTTTAATTATCATTATCATCATCATCATCATCATCATCATCATCATCATCATCATCATCATCATCATTCTCGTCATCATCATCATCGTTCTCGTCATTATCATCATCATCGGCATCATCGTCATCGTCATCGTCATCGTCATCGTCATCGTCATCGTCATCATCATCATCATCATCATCATCATCATCATCATCATCATCATCATCATCATCACCGTCGTCGTCGTCTTCATCATCGGCATCATCGTCACTATCACCATCGTCGCCATCATCATCGCCGTTATCATCACCATCATCGACACCAATTTCGGCACACCCCTCACACGTTTCGTGACGCCATAGGGAGTTCCACCGAAGGCCCCCGTGGCTGTGTTCGCATGCGGTTCCACCCCCATGTCGGCACACCCCTCACACGTTACGTGGCCCCGCTCCACCGAAGGCCCCCGTGGCTGCGTTCGCATGCGGTTCCACCCCCATGTCGGCACACCCCTCACACGTCACGTGGCCCCATAGGGAGCTCCACCGAAGGCCCCCGTGGCTGCGTTCGCATGCGGTTCCACCCCCATGTCGGCACACCCCTCACACGTCACGTGGCCCCACAAGGAGCTGCACCGAAGGCCCCCGTGGCTGCGTTCGCATGCGGTTCCACTCCCATTTCGGCACACATCCGACACGTTTCGTGGCCCCATAGGGAGCTCCAGCGAAGGCCCCAATGGCTGCGTTCGCATGCGGTTCCACCCCCATGTCGGCACACATCCCACACTTTTCGTGGCTCCATAGAGAGCGCCACCGAAGAAGACATTCACAATTGCGGTACTCACAGCTGCATATGGTTGGGTCCTTCGTCAGTTTTTTTTTTTTTTTTTTTTTTTTCCCAACCATCCTGTGGTGTTGGGTCCTCGTTTTGAAGAGACGTCGCCCCGCGTTCCTTCCTTCCTTCCCGCTGCCCCCTCCCTCCTCCCATCTTCATCATCATCGTCATCATCCCCATCATCGTCATCGTCATCATCATCTGTCGTCATCATCATTATCACCACCCATGTCGGCACACCCCTCACACGTTTCGTGACCCCATAGGGAGCTCCACCGAAGGTCCCAGTGCGTGTGCCCGCATGCGTCCCGCACACTCATTTCGGCACACCCCTCACACGCTTCGTGGCCCCATAGGGAGCTCCACCGAAGGTCCCAGTGGGTGTGCCCGCATGCGTCCCGCACACCCATTTCGGCACACCCCTCACACGTTTCGTGGCCCCATAGGGAGCTCCACCGAAGGCCCCAGTTGGGTGCATGCCTCCGCATGCGTCCCGCACACACATTTCGGCACACCCCTCACACGTTTCGTGGCCCCATAGGGAGCTCCACCGAAGGTCCCAGTGGGTGTGCCCGCATGCCCGCACACCCCCTGCGTGGGCCCCATTCGTGCGGCCCGGGGTGGCACACCGAAGGTCCCAGTACGGTTTTGGCACACCCTCACACTTTCGTGGCCCCATAGGGAGCTCCACCGAAGGTCCCAGTGGGTGTGCCCGCATGCGTCCCGCACACCCATTTCGGCACACCCCTCACACGTTTCGTGGCCCCATAGGGAGCTCCACCGAAGGTCCCAGTGGGTGTGCCCGCATGCGTCCCGCACACCCATTTCGGCACACCCCTCACACGTTTCGTGGCCCCATAGGGAGCTCCACCGAAGGTCCCAGTGGGTGTGCCCGCATGCGTCCCGCACACCCATTTCGGCACACCCCTCACACGTTTCGTGGCCCCATAGGGAGCTCCACCGAAGGTCCCAGTGGGTGTGCCCGCATGCGTCCCGCACACCCATTTCGGCACACCCCTCACACGTTTCGTGGCCCCATAGGGAGCTCCACCGAAGGTCCCAGTGGGTGTGCCCGCATGCGTCCCGCACACACATGTCGTCCCACCCCTCACACGTTTCGTGGCCCCATAGGGAGCTCCACCGAAGGTCTCAGTGGGTGTGCCCGCATGCGTCCCGCACACCCATTCCGGCACATCCCTCACACGTTTCGTGGCCCCATAGGGAGCTCCACCGAAGGTCCCCGTGGCGCAGTCCACATGCGTCTCCTTTGCCCAGTACAGCGTTACGTGGCCCCATATGGAGCCCCACCGCAGGTCCCAGCCAGCCAGCTAGCTCTCTTTGCTCCGCGCAGCGGGCGACCCGCGCGCGTCGCTGGGACTCCTCCGGGGCGACCTGCGCGCGTCGCGGGGGCTCCGTGCTGCGTTCCGCCCAGCGCCTCGCTCGCCCGTCGTCGCTCTGCCCAGCGGCAAGAGCCTTGCCCGCTATCAGCCAGCCAGCTAGCTCTCTTCGCTCCGCGCAGTGGACGACCCGCGCGCGTCGCTGGGACCCCTCCGGGGTGACCTGCGCGCGTCGCGGGGGCTCCGCGCTGCGCTGCTCCCGCAGCCTTGGACTTTTGAGTGCGCGGGCAAAGAGGGAGTAAAGGAAGGGGAGGAAGCGGGCGCGATCCTCGCGGGGGGGCGCGCCGACATTGGCGTCGCGGCGCGCGGGCGATGCCGTCGGGGAGTCCCGGGGAAGCTCCTTGCGGCGGCCACGCCCAGCGTCACGAGTATTCAGAGGCAGTCGTTGTCAAACTATTGGCATTCATACACATTTGCACCACGCTTTGTCATATTCGCATTCATGCACGTAGACTCGCTCGCACGCAGATCATTCACAGTCAGACGCACGCGCGCAGATTCACCCGCGCTCAGTCTCCCTACGTACTCAGATCAATCGTTTTCGTTCACTTTGTGTACCACGCCACTCATGTCGGCACGCCCCTAGCACGGTTCGTTGCCTCATAGGGATCGCCACCGAAAAAATGAATCACTATTGCGGTACTCGCACCTGCATATGGTTGGGTCCCTCGTCAGGCTAATTTGACTATTTTTGAGTATTCCTCCTGTAGAGGGACGTGCCCGACTTAGCCCTCTCAATTGAGTGCTAATTTCTTTTGACGGGGCCCGCGGCCTGGAACCCCGGGCGCTCCCGGGGCGCCCCGCGCGAACCATCCGGGAGGCCAAGGTGCCCCCTGGCGGCCCAAGAGGGCTCCCGAGATGGCCCAAGAGCTCCCCGAGCTGCCCAAAGATCGCTCACAGATCGCCCACGGTGGCCTCAAAACAAGGGCTCCCAACTTCGCGCTTCGCGCTGCGCGAAGCGCGAAGTGCGAATAACTTCGCGCTCTCGCGCCGCCTCCCAGGGGAGCAAAAGAGGATGAGGAGGAATCGGAGCCGAACCGCGAAGCGCGAATAACTTCGCGCCCTCGAGGGCGCCCTTGCAAAACCGCCCAAGGGCCCCCGAATCCACCCCAAGAGGGTCCTTGAGGCCGTCCAGGAGGGCTCTCAGAGGCAACCATCGTTTCTGACAGACTTTGCGTGCTCGCCTTTTTTCCGGGCTCCCGACGCTCCAAGAGGGTCCAAGATAGCTCGAAGACGGTCTAAGATGCCCAGTAGGGCTGCAATTGGACCCGAACCCAGGAGGGGGAGCACGAACTGACGTTTCGAGCCCTCCGGCCTGAGATGACTCCCGAGACCGTCGGCGGGCCCCCAAGGAGGCCCAGGAGGACACCCGGGAGGTCCCAGACGTGTCCCAGGCACCCCGACACGACATCCAAGCGGCTTCCGAGATACGGATACGGATCCCCTTGCGCGGTGCGGCCCCTGCGGGGCTGGGGAAGATTGCGCTGGGGCGCGGAAGGGAGAGCCCACCTTTTCGATCTCCTCCTCCACGCCCATTCTCAAACCACATTCTCACACCACATTATCAAGTCACCCTCGTAAAGAACCATCCGGAAGGCCTCCCACGAAATCCGAAAAAGGCATCCAAGCGGCTTCCGGAGAGGCCTCCCGTGAACTGTTCAACAGGCATCCAAGAAGCCTCTGGACATACACCCCAAGCGCAAAGGCGGGATGGGCCGAAGGCCACCCAACAAACCCGGAGCTCGAAACTCGCAATGCTCACGCACATTAAAAGCTTAAAACGAATGTCAGCGTATGTTTCTCGCCTCGGCGCCGCGCGCACCCAATTCAAACGTTTCCAAGAACCACACGGGTGGAGGGCGGCCCGTCTTCCAATGCGGCTTTCGCCTTCACACCGCGCGCATTCGCCGTGAACGTTTCCAGCAATTGCACAGGTGGGCGACGGTAGTGTCTTTTCAAAACGGGCCCCCCGCTTATCGAAATCATTAGAACGCCTTTGCGCGCTTGCTGGGGGGGCGGGCGCGATCCCTATCAAATAACATTATGCGGGCCAATCGCGCCCGTCGGCCGCGCGCGCATGTCGAAATCCTTCCCAAACGTGCATCACCGAC